ATGATTTAATCTGGGCCGTCCGATCGCAATTAAATTAGAATAAATCTGGGCCGTCCATCGCGATGAGATCTGGGCCGTCCGTGCATGATCAAATCTGAGCCGTCCGCACGTGTGAGATCTGGGCTGTCCATGTGCGCTTTTAATCTGGGCCGTCCGTGCACGGGAACGGATCTGGGTCGTCCAATCGCGTGCACGCAGATCGCCCACGTGTCTCTGTCCCGCGTGGCTTCCCGCGTTAGCGTCCCTGCCACGCGGCGTGTCCTGGTTGACCGAGACTGCTGACGTGGCGCTATTTTTTTAAATTGCGTTTTGACCCCTAGTTTTCGATTTTCTTTTCAAAAACACCTATAGGATCCAAATTTTCACCACTTTTTTCCAAAATTAATTTCAATTAAATCCTAAAAATAATTTTTTCCTATTTTATTATTATTATTATTTTTATTTCTATTAAATTAAATTAAAAACTTATAAATTAATTATTAAAATAAAATAAAATTAGACAAAATTCCAATAAAATTAAAATAAAATAAAATAAAAATTTTAAGTGTTACATAGGGAGTGAATTTGGGCCATTTATCACAATCTAATCTGGGCCGTTCATCGCGATCTAATCTGGGCTGTCCGATCGCGTTTGGGGAGCGAACGCATATAGGTTGTGTGCGCGTAAGAACGAATCTGGGTCGTTCGATCGCGGGCACGTGGATCGCCCACGTGGCACCGCATCAGCGTCCATTACCACGCGGCGCGTCTTGGGTCGCCGGGGCTGCTGAACGAGCATCCTACGTGGCACAAGTTTTATAAATTGCATTTTAACTCCCGTTTTTCGATTTTTCTTTCAAAAATACCTTCACAACCCAAATTTTCATTCATTTTCTCCAAAATCGTTTTTAATTTCATTCTCCATCAAATTTTCTTCATTTTTACATTAAATTAAATTTAAAAAAAACTAAAAAATTACATAAATTAATTTAATTTACATTAAATTAAAATTGGGCATTACAAATAAAGCTTACAATCTGGTTCAACATAATCGAACGAAGTATGTTAAAATTGATGAACACTTCATTGAATAAAAATTGAGAAGTCAACTGGGTTGTACATCGGTTTTGTCCTCACAAAATCAATTGTTCGTTGTACTTGCTAAAGGATTGAGTAATGTTTCAAAATAGTTTTACTAATCTGAAAATGAAAAAAACATATTCACCAACTCGAGGGAGAGTGTTGGAAAAGGAAAGCTTAAATATTTTTTTTTCTTTTTGTATATGTATAATCGGACATATTATATAAGACCCGATAAAAATATCTCATAAATTATATTGAATTACAAAATAATTGAAATTTCTTTTTACATAAACATGATAACTCTACAAATGAGTGAATAGTCAATTGTAACATCAATAAAAAGTACAATTTTCTCTACAATATATATATATATATAAAGCCACGGCGAGAAATCTCATCGCCAATTACGGTGGAAAACCCTAACAGAAAATAAATGAAAACAAAGTAGATCAAATTAAATTTAGTTATGCTAACAAGTATACTCAAAATTTTCAAAATTTCCTAACCATAAACAGGATAAAGTAAAAAAATAGTAGTTAAACAATGTTTTGACGTTCTTAATTTATAATTTGCAAAAATAAATGAAATGAAATGAAATAATTTCAATAAGTCAACAAATTGCTTCATACACATGATATGCATTTAAGATACAGTACAATACAAAGTTCAATATTGCTTCATACAAATTCCTCCTTGCGTAGTCTACAAACCTGATAAATTCTGAATTTACTCGAATAATTTAATATACTACCCAACTAGATTTATGTTAATATTATACAACAAAGAATATCGTCATTAAACCAGATGAAGTGTCCAAACTACACAGGATAGTGTTTAATCCCAAACAAAAAGCTGCGACCACAAACTTTGTCAAGCAAAAACTTTTCTGTAGGAAGCTGATTGATTATGCCTCCCGCTCATCCTTCATCTTCTCCTAGCGTTACTGTGAGAAGTGTAGCTAAAACTTTGGAGAGCTTTAAATTCATTCCATATATATTATCACAACATTGCTGCTTGCACTTTTGACAAATGTTCACCGCAGGTCCTTTGCAGTCTTCAGCAATTCCAGCTGAAGCCTTTTATATTGTGGAAAAAGACAACAGGTATAATTTGCCAACCTTATGGAGAGCTTTCTGCCTCTTTGGATGATTTCATTGGCAATGTATGAAGAAAGGATTGAAGAGCCAAAAAATTTTCCCTCAACATCATATTGTAATCGTATAAATGTTGAAAGTTCTTCTGGATTTCAGACATTTCTACTTCAGAACCTGCCTTGAATTCTGTGATGACAATTTAGCCGGATCAGCTAAGCTAAGCAACTTAAGACAAGGATCTTGAAAGCTAAATTTGCCGAACAACAAGCAAATCACATTATCAAAAAATATTTATGAGTTATGAAAAAAAAAATGAAGAAAATAAACGTAATAAAAGAATGTGGTTCATTTTACTTGGCCTACATCTACAAAAATATATTCCATATTCCAATCACAAGTATAGTGAAAACTGCATAACTCTCTCACTCTTGAACTCTGATATTCCTCTTAATTCCTTAAGTTATAAAAAGTTATAATTGGATTTATGCAAAAGTTGTTATTATTATTTTAAAAAAAGAACATACCAAAATAACATAGTTCAATCCACTTTATCTACATCATCGGAAACATCCCCTATACTCCAGTAGCGAGTGTATGAACAAAATAAATGATCCTCACACTCTTGCACCCTGGCATCCCTCAATTCCTTATGTTACAAGAAGTTATATTTCTTAACCTGTGTTTTTCTTATTGCTCTCTGATTGAACTCTTCTCTTTTTGTAAAGAATAGCTATCTACTTATGTTAAACCGAGAAACCTTCTTTGGTTTATGTTTAGTTGTCAAGATTTTTGCTTGATTATGAATTAATCTTCAATATCCTATTCGGGTTACTACTGGAACTTGACGAGCCCAGATAACAGATCTCGCTTCAACCCAGTGTCAGCAAAAGAAACAAATTTGCCCTTAGGCTTCAACCCCTCCTTCTGAATGCCAAGAGAACAAAGTGTAATTGCAGCACAATTCCCCAAATAACAAATTTGATGGCAACCCCAAGACCTAGCAAAATGAACTACTCATTTCTCGTCACGTTGCACCAATTACCTTCATCAATATACTTTCATCAATGAGAAACCAATTCTTCAGTGAAATAATATCATTGCTATAAGTAGGTTATGCACCTCAAATTACCGAGTTTCTTGACAACACCATTGAGAATCTTGAGATGTGCTAACCCAACAGCTTCAGTCTTCACCTTCTCACTATTTCCAACAATAATGTGGCCAAGATCTTCAGTGCTCAGTTCTTTATCTCTGCAACTTTTTTTTTGAAATATTGATCTCTGCAACTATACAAGTAAGAAACTAAATCCTTCACCCAACTATCAACAGTTCGGCAATAAACTTCACTGGCATCATTACCATCATCCATTTTGTTCCTATTTTTCTTTTCTGGCAAGTGCTTGAAACTCTTCACATCCTCTCTGAACTCAAGGCAGGTCCTCTGAGTGTTACTCTTTTTCCCATAGTAAAGACATCCATATTATTTGTCTCAACCAAAGTTTTTCACGTAGGTTAACTTTTCCTCTTCAATGACTAGTCCCTTGACAAACTCTTCCTAATGTCTAAAATGTGCTCTTCATCAGACACTCTCCTCCGCCATATTATTCTCATTCAACATCAACTGAGCAACCACATAATCAAGATTTGATGTTGCATCTTATATGACTTGGAAAGAATCAACAACAACAGTGAATGTTCTTATGAATTTTCAGTTTCTAAAATATAAATTTTAACATGTAATTGAGGTTTTTGCATGTCTCATTAATAAATCTACCAAAACATATATCAAAACCATCATATATATTAAATGTTAGAATATATCCATATATAATACTAGGTTTTAGTGTTAATTTGTTTGTTAAGGTAGGAATAAGAGTGAAAGAAAATTGGCAACCTGCCAAACCCACACGACCTATTCAAAGTTATCCCAGTTTTTGAAATCGAAACTGAATTGAATCAAACTACATTGTTCCTTTTTTATATTTTGGATTTGGCAGTTTAAAAATCTATCTGAATCTTATCCAATTCTATATATAAAAAATATTATATATTTTAAATTTTTAATTAAAAACTATAATGCCTAACCCATTATCCACCCATATCCTAGCCGCCGCTCAACTGCATCACATTCTTCCTCTTCTTCAAGCCACCCACCTCCACCATCCTACCATCTTCTTCAAGTTGCACCATTATCGTCCGAGAGGTTCTTTTCTTTCTTATTTGTTCTTTTTTCCATTCACTAGTTCACTTTTCCATCTGCAAGTGAAGGGCTAATCATGGATGTCTATTGCCTGTCTTCTGCTCTTGTTTATATTGCTATGTACCATTTCAGAGAACTGTGAATTACTCAACCGGGTAGCAATAAGTACAATCAAATTCACTTAATGAACATAAAGAAGGAAAAATAGGAAAACTATAAATGGGAACTCAGCAGTGGGTGGTTGAGGAACTTGGTGAGAAGACTTTCAATAGGAGTTCATTTCTTTTCGAGGGGAGGGAACGGTGGGCGGTTATTAACCCAAAACTCAAGGTGCAAATAAATAACAATTTTATGAAACCACCTTGAATCTGGGTGGGTTCGAGTTTCTGAATTTATGTCCAGGTTGGGTTCAAATTTCATGAAACCTGCACCCGAACCAAACCCATTGCTATCCTAAGTAGGGTATATTAGGTATACCAATAACTAAAGTTGGGGGTATAATCCACTCACGATATTAAATGATATACATATTTTAAAGAGACTGATCGTGACTATAACTCCTAGGCATAAATCTCGATTACTGCATCTGCTATAACTACAATTCTAGTGAAATTGTGACTTCCTGAACCAAATGTAGCAATTAGAGTGTCTAACGTGATAACTGTTACGCTATAACCCTATAGCAAACCTATCAGCCAACCAAACAACCTAAGACTGTGTTGTTTCTCACTGTAGTTTAAGCATATATATGGTAGGTGAAATGTTGTTGACCCTTGCCTAAATGATTACATGTCCTTAAATTGTTATAAAAAAGCCACAAAAAAAAGTTCAAGTTGGTCCTATTGGATTGAATTAGTAACACTTAAAGATTTGTTGGAACAATGCAGTAAATACCATAATAGCGACCATCTGAGTTGTTCCAAAGTGTTATGCATTAGTTTGTAATTTCAGCATACCATTTCCAATTATCACTAATTTTGTATTTATTCACATTAAGTTATACGTAAACGTACATATTAGCACAAAAATTAATAAAAAAAAGCTAATGTAACGGTAACATTACTGTTTAACTTGAAAAACTCACTAAATATCAAACTTTATACTGTTTCTTAAAAGATCAAATAATAGAAATCATGTTTAGAAATTTAATATACAAAATATTAAATAAGTCAAGCTCACTATTAGAGGTATACAAGAACATTTTAAGTTTCATTCTTTTTTTAAATAATTGCTTTATCTTATTTTTATTTTTAACTTTAAAAATAATGCAGTCACATATTAAGTTTCCGACTACTGTGCATGAAGAGCATCGCCAGACAACATTTGACATTTCTCCATATTAGTAAACATTTAATAAGGAAAAAAACATGGCTAGTAAATTTTCAGATACTAGTCATACCTAGTGGAGGTGGAAATGGAAAGATGTTATCATCTCTACCAGAAAAGTCTTGAGGCAAAGGGGGTCTATCACACGAGCCAACACAACTCTTATTACCATCATCTTTGGAGCCACGGACTTCGCTTTCTGTAGGCTGCAAATAAACGCAAAATATATTTAGCTTTAGAACTTTATTTTGATTATAGAGAGAAGAGAAAAGTACAAGAAGAGAGGATAAGAAATCCTCCTATGCCAAGAAAGGGCAGAAAAAGAAACATGTAAAAATCAATCTAAAGCTGGATAACAATCCCTTTGCAAAATAGCTAAAAAACATCCCTAAGCAATCCATGAGCCTTGGCCCAAAGAGAAGGATAAAAAAAATTCCCTTTTAGA